ATGTGGCGTAAGTGCGAAGAAATCGATGCTTAATAATAAAGATAAAAAGGTAAAAAAAGTGTAGCTGACAGGAGTGAGTGAAACAACAGACTGGTAGACTGAGAGCTCAGAAAGAGCGTAAAAAATATTAGCAAATCCTTTTGGGTGGCCGTTAAAATCTAAAAGGTTTCAGATATTTTCCTTTCCCTCCTTTTTAGTACTGTAAATTTTGGGAACTTTGGCCCAAAAGTTCTAGTTACGCCACTGTTTTGGCATCAGATAATGTTTATATTCCCTGAACAATATAGATCCTTCAGCTTGGGCTACTATCCTTTCTTCGCATGCTGTACGTTTTCAGATTTATCCTTAATAATTACAAAGAAGAGATATCCTTTATTACTAATAAAAAAAACTGGCACTTTACAGAAAGAAATCACAGATCGTACTGCAAGGAAAAAGTAATAAATAGCTCAAGAAGAATAACAGAGATAGGGCAAATTAATCTTCAATACGTCACATCACAAAATTCACTCACAGAGCGACGTCTAAAGCGGTAATCATCCAGCCAGAGCTGAAACACAGTTGCACAATTCTGAAATGAATAACTGAACCGATTGAGCATCTGCTACAGCGTTGCTATATTTATAGGAGAGCTTAAGCACTTCTATAAGCTTCAAGAAAAATAATTCCAAGAGCTTCGAAATTGCGTTTTCCGGGAATTAACGGAATGTTTCCAAGTTAGTGAGAAATTTACAAAAGTGTTCAAGATCCAGTAAGACGTTTTCGATCCACTTATCCAGTTTTAACTTAGCTTCCTTTACAGTTCCAAATATCGTTCCATCGGCAGAACGCGATTTTCTTCGTAACGTGAAAACAACAAAATTTCTTTCAGGGTTTTCTAATTAAACTACTACTTATGAGAATTTTTTAAATGTAAAATATAAATATTTCTCATATATATATATATATATAAGATAAACTATGTAAATCAAAATTATGACGTATCTCGGCAATAGCACCTTAGTTCTTCATTTTAATCTTAGTACTTCCTCTGTCAATTATGAAAACAGAAATTGTTTAAAATATCATTTTCTTTTCTGCGTCACTTCTAGGTTCATCCGTATCATATGACTTTTTCGCCACACTGGTGACGTAAAAGGAACTAAAGCAGTTGTTAACAGCTTTAGAGTATTATTAATTGTTCAGTCAAATGAAACTAACTCTTTCTGAATTAAGATTTTGCTTCTGTTCCCGCTAAGACACTGCCGCGCTGCATTCTACCGACTGCAATATTATCAAATTTGTATATGTAAAAATTGCGGAACAGGCACGATTAGCGTATCAAATTATTTGTGGACTCAAAATGTTTAACTGAAATAAAAGGAATATTTAAAATCTGCCTTGACCGCAAGCTTCTATTTCTTTTTTATGCATCCATCTTCTATCTAGTACGTCACCAATGCGTTCAAATTTATTCTTCAGTACGGGACATCTATTACTTTACTTGCGTTACTACCAAATCATCACACCAATATATGCATAGTAAGTCACATAATCTTACGTCTGTACAATTAATAAAGATCCTGTTCGCACATTGTAATTACAGAAATATTTTACCTAAAATTTCGATGTCTTAAAAGTTATGTATGATAACCCTTATTCTTCACTATCTTTATATACCGCAATTTCCAATACAATAAAGCCTTTTGTGGTACCGGAAGAGTTATTTTATCCCATTCGTCTTGAACGGCTTTCCAAAGTCCAAAGAGGGTTCTAGGTGGACGTTTGGACGATCCGCTTTTTAAAACTCCAAAAGCGCAAAACTCCATGCGTGATGCATCAGGAGATTTAGTAAGGATATAGGTGAATGACCTTGATAGCCGTTTCTTGCTCCATTTCTTTTTGCCAGGAAATTAACAGTGGATTTTGACGTGTGTCATCTTGATGCAGCTCTACTGATGGATGGCACTGTGGTTCAAGATAAAACATTTCATATTTGAAAATTGGATGGAAAATATATTCCTGATAACATGTGGAGTTGATCTTAACAGTTTTCTCCACTCTCTTTATTTTTAATTTGCCGTTATATAAAAAAACCAGCAACAATCATAAATCCCTTAGAAAAACTTTCTTTAGATTCCCTGAACCATGTTTTTTAAGATTTTTACTCCTCTTTGATGATAATAAATGGATCTCTTTTTATTGCAGTCATTTTAAGTACACCCAAGATTCATCTATTGTGACAATATATTTCCGTTTTTGTCCGGATAAGTGTTTCTCATAAATTCTCTAGCGCGTTCTGCGTTCGGCGATATGCCGTGAAGAAAGACAATGCAGATTATATTTTTCTCGCCTTTTTAAGATTCAAAAATTCAGCATTAATCACTTTATTTACAGCTGACACTGAGCATTTGAATGATTTTGCAGCTGTCCTTTGACTGAGCGGATTTTCTTTTAATGTTAAAGATCTTACTTTTGCACATTCAAAACTTTCCGTTTTTTCCTTGAATATGTATTTATCTTTTCACTTGAAGCTAAATTTTGACGTTTTTTCCCTTTGTTGTTGAGAACATTACCTATCGTAACTTTAGATAACGAAAAATCATGGCTTTCACAATATTTTTAATAACTAGATACGAATAAATTTTTTCGGAAAGAACACAAACATAACCTTCCATCCCTTGCTTCTTTAAAAGCGACATTTTGCGTGAAAACAAAACTGTCCAGTAGCAGACGATAATTTATACTTTCTAAAATATAGTTGAATTAAAAAAGAAGTTACAAGCAGGAGACCGTTTTTACAGCAAAGCAAAATCGTCTAAAAAGTGTACGAACAGCATCTGTAGAACTTTCGAACCACTATTTTGTTTTAGGACTAGTTTGTGGAATATATCGTCTCTGAAGTGACTACATTTCAGAATAGTGGAATTAACTCGCATTAGGTGCTCTGGAATGACTACACTGCCCTTCATTATCTCTCAGAAAAGTTTAATTTAGTATATTGGCTTCAACCGATAAAAGAAATCCTTTAGTCCTAATCGGGGAAAAAATTATTAAATTAAAAAAATGTTTACTTTAATGAACTTGTATTATTAGAATTCCATTAAACTAAAGTCCTTAACTAAAGTAACTAATTCGTAGTACTCAATTTCTAACGAGTGTTTCAAAAATTATAAATAAAATTTTCTCAAATAGTTATGACGAACAAATAAAACTGGATCCTGACTCTAAACATAGCTAAAAATAAGGTGAAATAACAACAGTTCCTGGCCTACTGAAGATAGCCAAATAATTAGCACATTTGTTCTGACGATAACAAGCTATTTTATCTGCTTTGCTTTTTTTTTTCGTTTACTGACGCGCTCTAAAAGCAACCATTTCGAAAGTGCTTTTCCAGCAGCGAAAGCAATTACGGTCAGGCTATTGCATCAGAGCTATTAATGATCCTTATTTAGTAAACTATCTCGCGTTCCTAAGGCTAAAGAATAGTGGGGCCTTAAAATTCGTTCTAGCGGCTCTCAGTTTCTGCTTTTATTAGCGCAACAGGAATTTGGGATAATTTATACATCTCACAATATCTGTTAATCCATCTATTGACGCTTTAAAAGGGTAATACAGCAAATTACGTTGCCTTAGTAATTAGTTTTAAAAGTGCTTCCCGCAACTGATAGAAGACCGTTTGGAGTGCGTTGAATTGCCGCGATGATATGGTAGGAGCTTAGTTTTGAGTATTCTTTCAGTAAAACTTACTTTAAGAGCTTTTGTTAATGCGTGTTATTTTCCTATTTTAAATGAAGTTATTAATATATTTGTTTTTTTATTTTTAATTAAAATATAAACAAATTAAAAAAATCTGAAAGGTTTCAGATTTTAAAGGTCGCCCTAAAGGCTTTGTTTAAGGTGTTTTATGCTCTCGCTGAGCTCGCAGGCTATCAATCTCCTGTTACACTCACTCATACTAAACCCTTTGCCCCCTGTTAAGCTTTATTATTAAGCATAATTTTCTTCTCACTTACCATTTTCGTATTTTAAAAGCATAGCAGTATACGTTTAGAATTTCCGATGGAACGTTAATTGTTGGCATACATTTTCTGTTTTCTTCCCCCCTCCCAGTACTTTCTCAGCCCATCATGTCAATGTGCAGTTTTCTTGCTAAGATGGCTTTAAAAAACATTTTTTTGCCTTCATATTATTAATGTTTTGTGCTTACTTTATTTATTATATATCACACTCTTGGCGCTTACGCCACATAAAATTCGATTCAACAGAAAAATCACAAAATATTAAAAAATGTTATGTCTTTGGAATTTTCCACAGATAGTCTCGCGAGCGAAATAAAGTTTTTAACCGTACAGTGCTGTCACGTTGGCTTTGAAATCGCTTGAGTTTGTTAATAAAAAATTCCATAAAGTTTTACAAAATGTGAGAGAGAGACAGATAATAAAACAAATACTTCAAGGTGGCCATATTCGGGTGGAGGACTATGTTATTCAATATTTGATGGCTCTAGGTAGCGTTGTTTTTTTCTCAGCACGAGAAACATGCATATTCTTCATTATATTTAATTTCTTTATATATAATACAAGGCGATAATATTTGGTGGCAAAAATTTGAAAACAAATACGCCGTTCATAGAGATTCAACACAAAGTGTCGTTTCGAGACTATCATACCATTCTGGACTAATGTCTGTTTTGGGCTAAAAGTTCTATTTTTAAAAAAAATAAAATAAGCATTTATTGGAAACTGATAATGTGATTGTAAACAGCTAAAATAAGAAATGGAAAGAAGAAAAATAATTTATCAGCGAATAGTTTAAAAAATCGATCGCAAAATTTTCACAAATAGCATGAGCGAGTTATATAAAAGTTTATAAAAGCAGCTGTTATGATCTATAGTCTTTTACCTTTAAAATAAACATCCTTCTTATCTCAAAACCACAGCAACGACAGCTGCGGTAGATGGATCAAATTCTATATTTTTTCTTCCCCTCGCCTACTGGATTCTTTCGAGAACTTATTCACTTTATTGAGCGAATGAATGGTGATTCGCCATAATGGCGCGGTAGTACCTTTAGAGTTCACCCACCGTGAGCTCTTGTCCTAAGCGTGTCAGGCGTAAGTTCGTTTTCCATTCTTGCTATGTTTAAAATGAATTTGTTTGATATCATTTCTTAATTTCTCGGACGTTTTGTTTATTTTATGTGAAAAGGAGGTTTTAGAGAATCTCAAAACTATAGTTGATGGAAATTGTTAGCGGTTGGATTGAACCAATGCTCTCAATAATGCTTGTTTTTTTATTTCTTTCCATTCTTCAATTGATCCAAGCACAGTGCCGTTGACTCATTCTCCGTTCCCGATCTTATTCGTCAAGGATATTTATTGGTAATGAGCGATGAATTGTAAAAAAGAACCAATTCAGTTCAACAAGAGATTCTGATCTGATCCCATAACAGAGCAATTTCGCCCATTTCTATTTCGTGCTTCAGTTCTGTTTAATAATTCTGCTTTGTGAAAAGTGTACGAATAAAGCCTGCCTTAAATAGTTTCAGACAAGTTAGAGATAAGAAATGATGGCCTGTGATGACGACACGTGTTACGACTGCAAATGTGCGACGTTCGGAAAGATCTTCAAGTACTTAATTTAAAATAACAGACTATAGATTGCGAAGCTGTATTTAGTGCAGGAAAGATCTTGAAGTGCTTAATTTAAAACAGCAGACTATAGATTGTGAAACTGTATTCAGTGATGAAAAGATCTTGAAGTGCTTAATTTAAAGTAACAGACTATAGACTGTGAAGCTGTATTCAATGCTGGAAAGACCTTGAAGTGCTTAATTTAAAACAACAGACTATAGATTGTGAAGCTTTATTCAATGCCTACAACCTTCGTTTTTTGTTTTTATCAAGCGCAGTGGGGATTCATAATGGTGCTACGAAGTTCCACTCAGGCTATGTGTACTGCTTCATATTTTTTTATATCCATCTCTAGGCTGGTAAAATGGTTTTTGTCCAAATCCTGTATGAATGGCCTTGTATCGTCCGATTCGAAATGCTTCTAGACAAATTAACATAACTTCAGTTGGCACTTGTTGTAACATTTGCCAATTTAATTCGTGTTATGCCCTTTAAAAATACACGTATAGAAATGCAAACTTGTGAATGCTGTTTAATGTGGACACACTAGTTCATATTGTTAAAAATATGCTCTTTGTACTACATCAGTACACTAATTTACGTGGCGTTTCCATTTTTGGAAGTATTCTAAAACAGTTTTTGGAATACTGTTGACCAAAATCACAAGCAGATAAATCAAAGAAATAGCGAGGATGATCTAAACTGGTAATCGCTTTTTAAGGAACTAGAAAGTCTCTCGCAAGGTCTCACATTATAATTGTTGAGAAGGACGTTGTGGAAATTTTTGTTTGCCCAGTTATCTATTTGAATTTAGTTGAACTGTTTCTGGATTAGACTGCTATTTTTCAGTTGTCTTCTTTTATCATGCGAGTGAGATACCGTATGTCAGATCATACCGTATATCATTACTTGTTAATATTGCCCTCCAACACTCTTCCTTCTTTTGGTTCTCTGTTTTGGGGTTGAACTGTCACATCCCATTGCGTCTTACAGTCTCCTGCGCTACTTAAAAAGCACACACGAAATTTTCATGGCAATTTAGTCACGTGTCATTCTAAAATTTTAGAAGCCTTCTTTTCCGATTTTGAGATACTTTATTTTTCTAAATTTTGATTGCCCATTTTTTTCAATAAAATGCATGGATAGATGTGTTATAAGGTATTTCTTCTGCCTTCTTATCATGCCTTCGTGGTGTAGTGGTCAGCACACTCGGCGCTTATTCGAGAGGCCCGTGGTTCGAGTCCCGACGACTGCATTGCCCATTTTTGATCTCTCCTGCTTTCAAAAAGTGCTTAATATCTCTACAGTGTCATAGACGACAGTGCGCAGTTATTCCAGAAATTTATTTATGAGTCAGTTAAAATTTATGAGAGTTACAGAAATTCATTTATGAGTCAGTTAAAATTAGACTGAAGCTGGTTGTCAAGGTTGATGGTCACCGACAACCTACTTGTTGACAGCAACCGATGTGATATGTATTGGTGAAATAAATCGCCAAAAAGTGCGTTTATTGTTTTTAAATTACGTTGCATCTTAAGCCGTTAAAGACTGATTAAATTTGAAAACAAAAATAAATTAAAGATTTTTAGTTTTCCCAAATGGCAGCACATTGAAACCTTTCTGATTGCTTGGGAAATCAATTAAATTTCTTATATGTGGGATATTTTCAAAACTTTTTGAAGTCTCATAGATGACGAGTTTATTATAACGTAAAACATAATGTATTCATAACGTAACAATCCAAAAATTGCGGTAAAGATGTTTTTGATGTCAAAATGAAATGCAAGAATATTGTGATGTGTGGGTTTACAGTCCCGCGTCACAGGAAGCGTGTAAAAAATTCAAATGAATGTTTTAAACAAAGCTGAGCGAAGGACTCCCTAGTGACCGTCGAGATCATAGGTCACTGAATTTTTTTGTTTTTTTATTATAGTCACCGGCTTGAGGGAGTTAAAAAATTTATATGCTGGCAATACTTTCAAAGCCCGTAGATGATAAATGAATGTAACGTAATTTAACCTTAAAAAATTTGGGTAGACTACTGTAAAGATGTTTCTATTAATTAATTTGTTTATTATGAGGCTAAAAAGTTAAGTAGTATTGTTCAAATTATAGGACTGTTACTTTCGTTACGTTACGTTATCATTCATTCATCATACACGAAATTTGATGAGCTTTGCTATCGAGCAAAATAATATACATATATATATATTTAATACGCCTAGGACATGAGCTCGCAAATATACCAATTTTTAGATTGCCGCAAGTGGAAAAAACATAAAACCTTTAATTTATTTCTTTCAAATTTATTGATTCTTTATTTAAAAGAGATTAATATAGTGAGGATCTGAGCGTACTAAGTCTCCCATTTGTTTTGAATAATATTGGCATAAGGAAAAAAATATATTTAATTTATAATATATGCAACTGATAATTTTTATGAGCATTTTTATCGTAATTAATAAAAGAAGTATCGAACGTCATATGTTATGTACCTCGACAAGCCATGTTTTTTTTTTTTTTTTTTTTTTTTTTTTAAATCACGTATAATTAACTTCTGTAACTTATGTTTTATTGATGCAGCAAATGAAAATGCATAAATTAATGCAAGGTAAGCTACTATGTACATCTACCTCATATTTAAAACTGTTTCTTCTATTTTATTTTATCCAATGATTACATTCCTTTCTTATTTAGAAATTCTGTTCGACAGTGAAACGAATTATATCATTTAGCATACTTAAAAAACAATCCAATAATTAAATCACTGTTGCTTCAAACCTAAGTATTGTAAATTGCATTAACGTAAAACTTGTACCAAATCTCATGTCAACTGCATGCCCAGCTGGTTTTCGCAGCCTAAGCATACCTTCAGTTCTGAAGACTCTTTAATATTGGAAAGGTAGACAAAAGTTTGGGGAGCTGCGAAGCCTTATTGATTAGAAGGAGTATCACTGCAGAAAATACAATCTAAAATTCAAACTTGTTTTCTCAGAAATTTCCTCACGAAAGGCAGAACCTCTCTTCGACAAACAAAACTTCCTCCCTTATTCCCTATTGCAGAAAGGAGCGAAAAAAGTTTGATTGAGAAATTCCTCGAAACGGATGTGACGTTCTTTTTTACGTCACTCCAACTTCCTGTCGACTGAGGATCGACAACACAGCCAAACAGCCCACGCTATTCCATTGACTGGCCAAAGTGGCGCCAAGAGGTCTGCACTTTTAAGCAGTTTTAAGGACATCGACGACTCTACGCCATTTCATCCCCCGCCCCTGATGACGATCTTTTCGCACCCCCTCATCGTCACACGTCGCCGCCAGATGGCGCTATTCATTTCATTCATGGTATTCCGGATTATTTATGTTCTAGGAGCGTAGAAATGACTTAGGTTTGATCAAGTTTGAAATTCGATGTATTTTTTTCGTTCTTTCATTAACCGTTAATGATCGATCTGAGTTCGAATGCTTATTTTTTAGTGGAGAATTTTTTTTAAGGAAAGGAAAAGCTATTAGAATGCCACTATGGGGGTGGATTATATTAGAACCCCATTAAAATGGTAATTTGGAAGAAGAAGAATGCTGTTGTTAGGAGACGTTAGCTTCTAGATACGATATATCCAGGATTTAGCTGCAGTAATAGCGGCTGTGAATCTTTACATCGAGTTGGGTCGTTTCAGCTGACCTTTTTCGTAAGAAATAATTTTAGAAAATTGTTCTTTTTTGAAGGTCATTTGCTCAAAATTTAAGTATTAAAGTTATTAAATTCATTTCTGAAAAACCCTGTAGCACTTTAGGCAAATGACTTTTATTTATTTATTCTTTCTTTAGGTAAATGACTTTTATACTGACCACTTTAGGCAAATGAGTTTAACATTCTAACATAAGCAAAATATATTATTTTCAGCCATAGAAACCTTTAAATGATATGCATTTGAAACGAAATGGAGGTACCGAAAATTCTGATTACAATATCTGAATCTCCAATTTCATATAAATCTGTGACAGATAAATTTCTGAAGGAAAAAGCAGTGTAGAATATTTTAAAAACTCATCTATAGTTAGATTAATAGAATAAGACAAAGACACTCGAGCTGCGTGTGGGAATGTATGCCCCTAGTAAAGGATTTTTTAAAGAAAGCTTGTTATTATCCATGTCACACATGAAGACACGAAAATTCTCATGAAGCTAACCTGCTCTCCCAGGGCTTAAATCTGAATCGAAATACAGTCTTCAGCGTAATATCGCTCGGCCGCTGGTAGGCTGTCACCTGTAAAATTTTGAGTGCCTCATTAATTCCAAAATTTTCTCCCCAATGGCGGCCTCCTGCCGTTTATAGACACACACATAGAATAAACACACGAGCCTCAGTAAGCCCAGACCTCAGTAAGGGCCGCGTTGGCTCTTAATGAGGCCGGAAGCAGTGGTCTCTTTATTATCAAGATATCTAATAGATGGGCCACCGTTGCTTTCTGTGTAAAAC